ATTCAACATCATTTTTTAATATCACAATAAACCTAATACTTTTTCCACGTGTTTTGAAAATATCAAAATATCAATATCAAATTGAACATAAGTAATATGAAACAATAAACTGCATTTTAATTACTTATTTATTATGTGATTGACCAAATTGATAGAAATATGGAAAATGTATGATATTGTCCTAAGTATTTTTAATATTATATACTTATAGTCAGCACATAATGTTTAAAATATAATATTGAAAGAAAAGGAAATAAGTATGCTTACATAATTAGTTAAAAAAATATTGAATATCCTATTTGAAGTAACGTCTATATGGGTTGGTTATGAATTTATGATAAAAAAAGTAGATACCTACGTGGTAGAAACAATTACAGGCACGATTACTTTTGAAAAAAAATTGTCTAATGTTAATAAATACAGGAGCGCCTATCCATTATATTTATTACCAATTATCTTAGTTTAATATATAAAGAAATTCATTAGCAAAGATAAACTATTATTTTAGATTTATAGAATTATAGCCCTATGGATGCTATTGTAAAAATTATTAAATTATTCTTATTTTAGTAGTTATTGACAGTCAACGAAATTAAATACTACCATGCAATCATACAAAATTATAAAATATACATTACGGATTCATATTACTTAAGTTTAAGTCAGATATTAGAAATAAAATGATATGTATAAAATATAGTATAAATTATGATTATTTTTTTCAGATTGGTAAAAAAATATGTAACAATAGTCAATAAACAGTTCACGACTCAACGAAAACTAGTAATTTCTAAGCCATAACAACTGTAGAGTACACGACACAAGAAAGTATTTTTTTTTAAGTTCGAAACAGAAAGTATTTTCAATAATAAAAAAAATGGTGTTGGAACTACTTTTCTATTCACTAAATGCTAGACTTTTTATGTACATCCGAAACGCACCTGATATCCAAGTTCTTTTAGCATCTGCTTTTGGTCGGAGTCATTGGGTCCGATATGTCGCTGAACAAAAGATTCGCGACCAAACACGGAATTAGGTACATTATACGAGTAAAAGCGCTGCGTCCTGCGCAAACAATTTAAACGACGAAACATGACTGAACACTGTTTTCTAACGCAATAATATTATCATAATATTTAATCAACAGTGAATCAACTGGTTACTATAATATGTACACTTATACAATACATAATATATTATTAACGACTAATCACAACAGCTTACTCTAATTTAATATCCAATGATAAAATTATAAATAATAACGAAAGTAGGTACAGTTAAATAGGCAGGTACCTACGTATAATATTATAGACTATAGCACAGCTACGATCTATAATATAATCATCTGCAATATCAAGGTTGTCTATTATGTTCTATATACCTAATGCGAAGAAGGTCTATAATAGACGGCAGATTATATTACTAAGTATATTTTGGTACTTTACCAATTAATTATTTTTAATTAATTTTTGTGAAAAAATCATATTTATCATAAATTATAATATAATATATTATGGTTATTAACTTTGAGTCATTATACTGACTTAACGTAGTAAGTAGAAAGATGTGAATAGGTTCGTGGTATAAAATAATATGCGACAACTTAAAATGAATCTAAATTTTTTAAAGATGTCGTAATTTAAAGGTACCTAGTAAAATTATATCATAATATAGGTACTTAAAAGTTTCGAAAATGATATATTTTAACGACAGTAAAATAAATAAAATCGTTATTCCTCACTTAAATGTCCAATATCGTAAATAACTCAACTTCAAACACGTTTACAAAAACAAAAAATCGTACTTATGAATTTAAATATTTTTAAGTATCTATAAGAATAACTTAGGTACGTGACATTTCGTATTATATTTTCAAGCTTTTGGGCTCAATCAAAAATCAAAAATCAAAAATCTCAATTTTCAAATAAATTATAATTGTTACTTTTTTAAAAATCTTCTAGCTATTTAAATGTCATAATTTCTATGAATCTAAATTAGAGTGTCGTCCATAAAAGAGAAAGCACTGATCTGGAGGAGGACCTATAGGCATAGACATGGTCTGAGGGTGATTTCTATTTATGCCTTCGTAACAATTTTCAACGATTCAGTAGTCAGTTCGCTAATGTATACTCGAATTCGAATATATCAAGCGATCCTTTATTGAGATCAGATGATTATACCAGTAAGGGGTCATTGCCAAAGTTCTGGGTGAAGTTAAACAGTCCATGCCGTTGTGGGCACGTACAGGCCCGGATAGAGCCGGCGAGTTACCGAGTTGAACTCGGTGGGCCGGCTTGGAATATTCATTATTTATCTATGTCAACTGCTTAATATAATATGTATAATTTATATTGTATGATATATGATGTTATTATTAAAATATGGATAGCCATTAATGACTTTAACTTATTGAAAAACGTGACATTAACTTTTTTAGGGCCGGTTATAATCGTGAAACTCGGTAGGCCGATACCTTGCCTATCCGGCGCTGGGCACGTATCACGAATATAATGAGTTGCGTCGGATAGAATTGATCAAAGTGCAGTCACAGCAGTTATATTTGATCTACCACCTGATGATGCCAATCATCGTGCCACTGTAGACGATGGGTAATTATCTAAAGTAGCTTTCAGACAAGACCGATTTATTGCTGAAAGTCGAAGGATATAACATTCCTGAGCAATCTATCACGGTGAGTTGTCGTCCTAGAGACGTCAACATTTTAAATGATGAGTAAAATATCTTCTGATGTTATAAAAAGGATGTTGAACAGATGGGAGGTGGCTCCAATTGGAGAACTCTAGCACTGGATAGAGAAGGATGGAAGCTTGGTTGTGAGACGGGATGGTCTTAAAGGTCCAATAAACCCTAAGAAAAAGAATAAAATATCTTCTGTGATAGTTGACATCGAATCATCAATCAGCGAACGAAAACTAAACAAGCGCGCCGTCCTGATGATTCCGGCGAATGCCATATCATACAATATTGATCAGTGAATAGTGATCACCTGCACTTGACTAGTCCGTCGACATAAAACTGTTCAAGTCGTCATTCAATCGTTAACAGTTCATTATTCATCAACTATTATGCTACCCAGTTGTTCACCAAACATCCCATCATCTGGTTCCTATTCTATCCACACGTTGTTTGGTACGGTCAAACAATAATCGGCGAGCGATTGTCCGTGACCGTATGGTAGGTCTCAACATAGCGTTAAGACATTTTAGTTCTTATGAAAACTTGAGTCTCCAAAACACTACTTAAAATCCTCAATTACATTAGCCTTATATCCAATATTGAAATCAAATCATTTTCCTGGCTATAAAAACAAAAATGTTTATGAATTTCTAACTGATTAATAATTTGCAAATTGTCGCGTTTTGAAGAATTTCGTCAACATTTTAATTTCAGACATAAAAAGTTATGATAGATTTACGCACAACTTTTTTAAACTATTAACAACTTATGATGGACCTTGTATGAAATGTTCAAGTTTCTTGATCGATTGAAAAATTATTTATCAACAATGATTGAATATAAACTAAAAATATCAAAAATTTCTTATATCTTAAAAAGTCAAAATATTTTGAAAATTTTATCATGTATGGAAAATAGTCAAATAAACGTTTGGTGAAAGATTATAAGTATAATGTTTTTATAATATTAAGTATCTACAATTATTAGTTATTGAGTTGTGCCAGGTTAGAGAGGTGTATGGATAAATAAAAAACATAGATGATTTAAGACTGCCACATTTATTGTTCAGAATCTAAAAAACATAGCTTTTTTAAAAAATCAAAATTATTTTTAATATTAACGGATGACACATGAAATATTATAAATTATAATATTAAGAAAATGCTACACCAGCATGTGTTGTCTCCGTCTTATCATTTATACGTAAGTTCTGAATGATCTATTAGTTATTTACTATATTTAATATTAGAGTGAATTGTCACATTATATTATCAAATTCAAGTAAGAATGTCATCTTAGGTTTTTTTTAAAAATATTTTTTAATTTTAAATGGAGTTATTCTCATTTTAAAATGAACAAGCAAATTAACATTTTTTTTAAATGCTCATTATTTGCTTTAAAATTTAAAAAAATATACATATGAGATCCTCTAGATAATATTCTTACTGGAAAATTTGATAATATGACAAATGACTTTAATGTTAAGCATAACAGAGTTAAATGTATTATTCAGATTCCGAACATACATTTTGACATGTTATGCTTTTGTAGCACAGAGAAAACGCATGTCTAGAATGCTCTTAATGATACTTACATTATAAAAAAAGGATTATTTGACTATATAGCATACAAAGAAAATGTATCCATCATCAATATAATTGAAAAAATAAAATAAAAACAGTTATACCACATGTTTAACGTGTATTTAAAAGGCATAAAAAAGGTATCTAACACAAAATTAACATAGTGTATACATTACCTAAACATAAATGCTCTCATGGCAAGAAAAATAAAATATCTTAACAATCATATTATAAACCATAAAATTAAAAATTTGTTTGTACCAATAATTGAATAATTTTATACAATGATGAAATTATAGCATAATTTGTAATAATTAAATAATATCATATGTGACATATGTGTTGAAACACGTTTCATGTCATTTAGTAAAAATGTTTAATGGTCTTTAATTTTGGGTACCTACTTACACAATATTTAATATTTAAACTACATCATACAATGTAAAGTTAAAGTATTAACAAGCATTTAACTAAACCAAATACAGTAAAAATATGTATGTATTTTAATAATAATCAAAAACATAGTGAATAATGAAAATAAAACACAAATTTAATGATCATTCACACTCAAACAAGCATTTATAAAATACAAAAATTATGTTTGTAACCATTGAATAGTAATTTTGAAAAATTTATTTTTAAAAATTACCATAATATGAATCTTTATTTAAGTAATTTTATTTACTTTTTAAAATAATATTTATTTAATGTAATTTTAGGAATTTTATTTATGAATATTAATACAAATATATATACTAACATTAGGTATTTTAAATAAAATACAAGTATATGGTATTTACACTTTTTTGAAAACAGAAATTTTTGTTTACTGTGATTTAAAGCGTTTATTTAATATTACTCTTATCATGGAGTATTAGATATGATACTTATTTGTTTAAATTCTTAAGTGGTAGTTATTATATAAGACAACAAAAATATTGGTGGTAATTAAAAAGAAAATATAAAATTCTTACATTCCCTAAATTTTCTGTAGGATCATTATTAGAAGAATATACATATTATATAGATATTTTTTTTATAAAAAATACATTTATAATAATTTTTACACAGCTTATTATAAAACTAAGTCAAAATTATTATCTATCATTATTTTGTCCATTTTCTAAATGTGTTTGTACATGTACTTTAAGTTCATCATCAGACTCAAAAGACATTTCACAAACATGACATAAGAATATGACAGTATCTGGTTTATTCATCATATTATATACACACTCACTACATTTTGCCGCATACCTCAAATGCATTTTCATATGCTGGACATACTTATACCATGTATCCAATTCCAACGAACATTCTTTACAAATATATGGCGGAGGTTCACTATGATTTTCAGCTTTATGTTTGTTTAATGATGATTCGTTTTTTATCATAAAGCAGCTAGAGCATGGTGGTTTAGACGGCAAAATATTACCTTCATTAGATTTTGGTAACCTAAGAATGATACAACTAGAATTAATCAATATATTTTTTGAAAATCCAATTGTTAAAGGAAATATTATATTCAATTAAAAGTAAACTAGGGATCCCCATTGTAAATTATGTTTAATCTTAATAAGTTAAGATAAAAGTGTTAAAAATGCAGAAAATTAATGGGTCATTTTTCTACCCATTGCGTAGTTGCATGCCTATAATAAAATGTGTTAATTTTTTCAGGGCATTGTTGAGTTGAAAAGGCAATTTTAATTATTATTTAGAGCATTTAAATCCGGACTTTACTAAATAGCAGTAACTTGTTCATACTTAAATTTATAAAAAATTCCCTAAATGATAAAAACAACAAATAAAATTGAACATGTAATACTCGAATTCTTTAGAATTTAGAATAATTTAAGAAAATATATTATATTAGTTGTAATTTTAAGAGGACGCTACTCATGCATTTGTTGTCTCTGTCTTACACACATACAACAGAGAAAATTCTTGGTCACTGTTTGAATAGTGGCTGTTAGTTTTTAAATGCGCATTTTTGATTTGTGTTATTTCACATACTTGTATCTTGCTTGAACTTCAAAAAAAAAAAATGAAAGTCCGCCGATGCTTAAGCATAGATAATGTTCTTACCTAAAAGTTTGATAATACTTAAATCCATTCTGATATCAAAACTAACGGTACACTATTCAAACTAGTGAACAAAAATTTGCTATGTTATAAGTTGATAAGACGAAGACAACAAACGAGTGGGTAGCATCCTCTTAAGATTAATTTTATTCCAACTGTATTCAAGGAAATAGTTTAAAATACTAATTAATCAAATAGTTACCTTGCAAAACATTTTCTACAAGACATACATTCAATAAGTCTAAGTCGACTTTGAAATTGCATTGGAAGTATATCTTCTTCTATAAGACCAGCCTTGACAAGAGCATTTTTCCAAAACAATGGACCAATTAATTTAGCTTCATTAAATTGACCAGTAGAATTTTTTTCCAATATTAAAGTTTCTAGAAACTTTTGGTATTCTTCAGTGTTATAATCTGTTAGTTGTTGTTTTCTTTTTCTAAGCATATTTTGGATATCTTGTCTTGAACTTTCAATTGCTTCCTGAACAACATCTCTTTCACTTTTTTCTTCTTCAGCCTAAAATAAATTAAAAGTTCAATTAAAGTTGTAAGCTATTAATTTTTGATGAATTTTTTTTTTTTATATTACATCTAAATTAACATTTTCCAATTCTCGTTGTTTTTTTTCCCATGCTTTTTTAGCAAATAAAGGACCAAAAGGTTCACTATCTTTTCTAAACTTTCGTGAATTAAGTTTTTTCTTTTTATAGTATGAAACTTTGGGATTAAAATCTTCATCACTGTCAGATGAACTAGTTTGATAAAGTCGAGGATTACGGATAGACATTTTATTATGTACATCCATATAATGTATATAGTAATTTTTTTCGCCAACAATAGTTTTTTGACACAGAGAACAAATCAATGTTCTTACATTGTTATGACTTTTTAAATGTGTTCGAAAATTTGCTATATGACGAAATTTACGATCACATACCCGACAATGATGTGGTTTTTCTCCTGTATGGGTTAACATGTGTTCATTGTATGACAGTTGACTTTTACAAATTTTTAGACATTCGTTGCATCTGAAGTATTTTGATGGCTTTATTGAAGATTGAGGTAAAGGTTCACTTATACTGTTAATATTACTATGATGAAAAGTATCATCATCAGTGTGAGTCCGCAAATGTGCATCTAGGTCAAATTGTGTATTGTATGATACATTGCACATAAAACATGAATAACATTCATCATATATATCTTCTGTTTCACTTTCTGATTGATGATTTTGAATTGGATCTATTTGATCCATTATTTTATCTTCCATCTGCAAAAGAAATAGCTGCTTATACAAAATATAGTTGAATATACATTTTATTTTCCTATTCAAAAAATCAAGAAAGCACCAAAAGTTTACATTTTGTATCTTGTACGGCTTTAGTAAGGGGGCGTAGCACACATATGTGTTGCCTCTGTCTACAAGTGTGTAACATGGCAAACTTTACGCCCAGCAGATCTCGTTTAGATCTGTTAGTTAAAAATTTAGAGTGAACTGAACTCTAAAAAAATTTAAAGTTAAAATTATTTTCTAGGGTATATCATAGACCTTTTATTTTATGTTAATTTTAAAGCGAGTTATAAGTATTTTAAAATTATTAGTTGTTTATACATCTTAAAATACTCATAACTTACTTTAAATTTTATAAGAAGTCAATTTACTCTAATTTTCAAACTTATGGAGCTAAACGTGATCTACTGAGTATGAAATTTTATATGTTACGCACTTGTTAGACGGATAAAACATATGTGGGTGCCACTTTTTCTTAAATATAAGAGTTAAAATGGTAATTTAGTACAACAAAAAAGGGAAATTTAAAGAATAATGGTTATTAGATTCTGATCTATTAGTTTCTATGTTTCAAAAAATGTTCATGTTCATACTGATTACAGGATGTCTCCATAATAAATTCTAGATGTTTGTTCTTGTATACCCAAATTTAGCTAACCGTGTATTATAAATACTACACAGGGAGTAAAATCATATTGATAAAAGAATACATAAAAACAAATTCTCATGAGCAAGAATTCTTTGAAAAGAAGTGAAGATGCAGCTCCTTTTTTACATACATATAAATTCTGTATAAATTATACTAGATAGGTAATACACAAAATATTTTACCGAATCCTCGTTTTTTATATTTTGACTTATGCTTGAGTCATAGTCACAAGAATTGAGAATATCGACATCTTGAAAATCCATAGGTTCAACCTTAATATCATTTAAATCCGCCTTCATAACCATGTTAAAATCCATTGTGTGAACTAAAAACATTAAACCATTATTTATATATAATTAATAAACTAATTCAGTTGTTTACACAGCGTAAATTTATAAATGTGAAACCACGTAAGTGATAATTATCATGCTTGGCAGTATTTTCAATAATGCAGTGTCTATAAATTATTATCAAGGCTTACCAGTCTATATATTATGATCTGATTCGGATTTTTTCAATACTGATGGGTACTAGAGGAATTTATTATAATGGTCAATGAAACATTAAATGCAATTTTTTAACGACGAAAAGTTTAAATACTCAAATAATATTCACTAACGCCGGGGATTCATGTTTACTTAAATTTTGGATGTTGGACGTAGATTACGGAAAAATGCTTTGGTTAATAGTTTATACACTCTTTGGTTGACCAAGGAGAATATGAATAATATGAAACATCCAGCGAGGCAAATCAGTTAGTATAATATCTAAATAATGTCAAATATAGGAATCTACTATTTTATTATTTTAATACTAGCTGTAAGTGAAACTCGGGGGCCCGTTGAATCGCTGAAAGTGGGTACCAATGCTGGAGTCGATGTCCTAATAATAATAAAAGTTTAAGTCGAAAGTTTGAGGAGGTGATAAGGATAAGTGATAAGGATTAGAGATAAGGCTTGGGAGTTTGGTGGGAATGTTAAATGTTTCAGTGTTTCAGCTTTAGCAATCCGTCTCGACTGGTGTAAATTGATATTTGAACATTCTCCTGTCGTCTGTAAGGTGTTTTTTCGTTTGTAAAAATGTATAAAAAAAAGTGTAGGTCGATTGTCTAGGTATCAGTCATTAGTCGTGGTGTAAGTCGATAACTGACTGAGCAAACCACCAAAGGCTTATTGAATTAGCTATCATTTTAGATGTTCAAAAGTGTATAATCGATAGCCGTATTCGATTGTCTAGCAATCAGTCATCACCGCTGTGTGTACTTGTAATTAAGCCAAATAGGTAGGCAATCCGACTGCGTCGGATAGCAGACAATATGCGAACCCCATATGATCCGGTTTTCCTGACCCCGTTGATTGCTTAAGCGTAGTGTACACGATGCTAGTTTACTAGCGACTAGTGAAACACCATCTTACTATCTCACTAGTATATAGTAAAATAGTTATTTCATATACACGATATTTAAATACTAGTAGTTAAAGTACCACTAGTACCACTATACCAACTACCAGTAGTCAGTACAGCCTCATGACTGGTCATCGTGGAGTACCCTCTGCTGTTTGATTTAATTTGTTTTTAATCTATAATAAGTTTGTGATATATTTGTGTTTACGCCATGGACAACAAATTTGTTTTGGCGTGTATACATTTTCTGAGAACCGCAATAAAAATTGAACTTGAAAGAAGAAAAAAAACTAAGAAGAGATTGTGGGTAAAAAAATGGATTTCTAACAGAGATTATTTAGGAGCTTCTTCTACCTTACTTAGGGAGTTGGCGGTTGATGATCAACTGTCATATAGAAACATAATGCGAATGAGTACAGAAAACTTTGAAAATCTTTTGTGTCTCACTAGAAGCATGATACAAAAGCAAGATACAAATATGCGAATGGCACTACTGGCCAAGTTAAAACTTGAGATAACATTACGTTTTTTAGCAACGGGAGATTCATTCAAGTCTTTACAGTATTTGTTCAGAAAACCAGCATGTACAATTTCAAAATGTTTGCCCGAAGTTCTTGATGCGATAACAGAAGCTCTTAAATCATATTTAAAGGTTATTAAAACATAATTAAATTGTAAATCAATATTATCAAAACAATGTTAAGTAATTATTAGATTATATTAAATCAGATATTATTATTGTGTTTATTATTATAAGTACATTGAAAAAATATTATAGTATTAATTGTAAAATTATAAAAAATTATTAGGAATTGAATACAGTAGTACGATCTATTGTACCTATATTTGATTTAATCGAATACAAAATCGTCGAATGTATTTTCCATAGCTTTTTTAATAACATCGATTGTTTCATCAGTTGGACTATAATCGGAATGTGTTGAAGCCGCTTGACTTTCTTCAGAAATGTTCGATGTATTTGAAGTTGCAATTGTATTTGGTGATGTAAATGGATGTTGAAGACTGAAGTAACTGTGTTGGACTTGGATTATCATCTGATGAAATATTGCGTAGAACTGAATTAGTAATAGCAGTTTGTATCTCCTGCTGTAAGCAAGAGAATTCTTTGACGTAATGGTAGTTCGCGTAACTGTGAAGAGACATATTTTCCAAATTTATCACAAGCGTCTTCATCTTTTATTTTCCCAGCCATTTCGTCCAAACTAGCTAATACATTTTCAAGAAGAGGTTCAGAACGTTTCTTCTTACGTGGTGTAAATTTCGGTGCTTTCATTTTCTCCGGCGATTTATCTTGTTCAGAAGAAAATTCTCCACAACAATTCGTACTACTCGAAGAATTAAATAAAATATTAAATTTTTATGTCTATGTTATATATGTCTAACTAAAGATGTGATTGTTGTGATTGTTGTAATTGTATTTGTATTATTCTCCCGTAAATATGAATGTAATAACTTCGAAGGGCGTTCACACATATTTTCTGTGGCCTTACGTTTTCATGGCCAGGCCAGGTGAGAGCGCCGGGACCACGATGAAGAACGCAGGACTGCAGATCGGCAGACTCCTTACGGCTCCAGACCAAGGACTTCGACACGAAAATAAACTTAAACAATTGACCTTGTAAGGGGGCAAGTCAGGGGAATGTCTTGTCTGTCCCCAATGTACCATCGGCTAAGTGACACTTGTTTTTCAAATAAACGATGGCGGCGGCGCCGCGGAAGTAATGCGCAAGCAGTCCCCGCGACATCGTCGGATCAAAACAGAAAAAAAAAGAGGCAGGTGCCTACTTAGACTGTCAATATTGTGTACTCTAGAGTCTTGGTTATTACTATTTAACTACATTTAATAACTAACTTCCTATCAATTCATATAACGATAATATGCTTACTTATTATATTACTATACTGTGAAAACCTATACATACATGCATAAGCATAAGTTATAACCCAGTAATGATGCCGCACCATTATAAATGTACAAATTACAATAACTAATAATTTAAATATCAAGTATAATATATGTGATAATTTGTAAGACATTAAATAAAACTTAAAAGTTAGGTTCATAAAATAAAAAGTCATCTTATGTAATATTAATCAATATAATGTGCATAAACATTACCTTTTATACATAATGCACCATTACTATTGTTGTTAATAATAGTTTGTACCATAACAATTTCAATAATAAAACAACCAACTTACTTCTTCCACATGGACTTTCTATACAGACTGACACTTGCGTTAACGTTAATATTATAATTGAATTCTCTATTAAATCATATTATTGAAATAAATATATTATATCAATGAATTAATTAATTTATTAATTAGGTACAGAATACAAACTATAATTGTATATTAAGTATAAAATTCACTACTCAGTAACTGCTCAAATAGACCACTAATAATTTAAAATATATATTAGGTATATGACATTAATTTATAAAAGTCTTAAAATTAATAAATAATATAGAAATTATATTATTATCTTTATCTTATTCGACATAAACATATATGGGTATAGACGGACGGTCGTTTTCTTAAGGCGATTGCGAAACGTACGAACCGCTTTCGAGTGAAAACCGCATACGTACGTCTTTTAAAAGAAGTTAACTACGCGATTCGGGCACAAACAGTGTTTTTTTTTTTTTACTATTTTTTTCTTCAAAATAATATTTTAATATTTTAATAAAAAAAAATAATTTGAAAAAATAAGAAAAAAAATAAGAAAACGAAAAAAATTAAAAATTAAAAAATATATTTTGATAATAAAAAAAAAATAAAAAATTTTTTTTGAAAATAATAATAAAAATTAAAAAAATTAATTTCTGAAATTTAAAGTATAGGTTACTATTTGAAAATCAAAAGTTGATAGTGGTTTGCCTAATAAATATAAAGAGTGATAAATTAAAAATATATATACAATTATGGAACAGCGTAAATCTAAAATTTTGAGAAAAAAAATTGAAAAAATAGTTTTTGAAATATTGAGTTTTGTTTGATAAAATAATCGCCCTGTATAAATTAGTATATAGTATATACCTATAGTAAACATTTTTAAATTTTTCACAAGATGTATTAGAAATAGCAGTTAATCCGCATAATGTATGCTATACTGACATGTTGATGATTAGGTATACCATTATTAATTTTATGCACTATTAATTGTTACATCATGAAGATAGTTTTAAATAATAGAAAATTGTCTAAGTATATTTAAGATTTTAAATATTTATACAAGACTCCCCTTAAGTTTCCCTACGTTTTAAAAATAAAAAGTTTAGAGAAAAGTCAAATAAAGTTTCTATGAACGTTTGAAGTTAGACATTTCATTCACCTATAAATTAACAAATTTTCAATTTCCATTCTAAATTTTTATTCCATTTTAATTAGATTAAATTTTTATTGGAAAAATTCAAAATAGCCAATTTGTGAATTGAATTAAAAGAACAATTTTGATCGTAAAAATATTTATCTAAATCGATTAGATAAATATTTTTAAAACTATTGTTTCTCTACTTCATTAGGTAACAATGCTAACTTATAGTTTTAGGTAAACGGGAAGCAATTGAAAAAGAAAAACAACACGTTCTTCATGGCATTAAATATAATTTTATTTTCATACAATGCCCATTTTGTAATGATAAATTTATAAACGAAGACAATATAATAAGCCATATTCAAATCAATCATTCAAATTCTATACATAATGAAAGGCCGTATACACCATCGGAGGTACCAAAGATTTATTAATAATTAATTTATTAACATTTAATTAAAAATAAAATATATTCATCTTTTCTGGGATACCTTAATTGCAATTGCGTCTGCTATAAATTTTGTAAATTCCTTCCACATTACATCGGGGCAAATTTTTTATTTATTAAATAGTTATGGGTACAAAATAAAAAGCATATTACAGTTGGAGACTATTCTTGTTCAAAACAACAAGAGTATCCAATTTTACATAAATTGCAAATATGAGGTATATACAATGATTTGCTTAACTAAATATTAATATCTAAAAATTAAAAATATATACAACTATACAACTATACAAATAACAATAAAAAAAAAATCATATACATTATATACATTATATACATTATATACAGGTCCTTAGTAGATGTGGTCATGTTGGAAAAGTTATTGAATACATAAAACTAAAAAATATGGAACAAAGCATTATTGAAAATATGAGGGATATGGTATTAAAGGCAGCAGGGGAATATGTGGAATCGAATTTCAAAACAAAAAAATTGGGTAAAAAAAAGACTGCCAAACTTGTCCAAGATTCAGTCAAAATATTCGACAGCAGTGCGGCAAAAAATTTTGCTCAGTATTTAAATGCTGTAAAAATTCTACAAAATGTTCCCTACCAACCACAAATAACTGTAGCTGATATTCCTGAGGTTTTTGCCAACCCTCCCACCCAACAGAAAGGAGATTTCTGCAATATGTTTTGGCAAAATGTGGTTGGTTGTCAGAGTATAATGTCTATGGACAATTCAATATCTTTTGCTATTTCCTGTCTTGTTCACGACAGAAGCGATGAGTGAGTGATGATTGATAAATGAAACATTCCAATAAATATTAATCATGTCCTTTTTTCCAGTGTCAATTTGAGTGAAGTTGAGTTTCATTTCTATAAACTTATAGAAATGAAAAAAAGTATTATTAAAATGAATATTGTAACTCATTATATTGATACATTTGAACACCAAATTGAAAAGTTCATCGCTAAAGATTATAAAATTATAGTAACACATATTGACATACTGCAATCAAATGTGTTGAATAATGTGGAGTTTTGCTTAAAAAACTTTTTAAGCAAACTGGACAACTGGTGGATGCATCCCTATGTGCGTTATGATACCAGTTGCCTGTAAGTTATAAAAGCAATATTTACCTAGTAGTCATCCTCGTAACAAATGTTATAAAATACTTACTCAACTTTTAATTCCAAAATATCAAGGTCCTCTGAAAATAGTAGTTGGATGCAAGTTTACCTGACCACTCAACCAACATCCTGCTTAACATTTTTCAAGGAGGACACCACAAACCGTTTGTTTGTTTTGGCTTGCCTGCATTTGTATTTTGAAAATACAATTTTGTTACAAAACCACACTGTATGTTATTTGAAAAACATATAATAATTATTTAAATGTATTAATGTAATTCTAAAATTATTTTTTACCATAGCTACATACCTTATACCAGCATATAACTGTTGTAATGGCAGTTATATCCAGGAATTTTGTAAACAAATCCAAACTGCGGGCAATATTAAAGGAACTGTGTGACGATCAACTTCTAACTTCTATCAAATCCTCCACCAGAACTTGTTATCGTTCACAGCATAAATTATATTCTGTAATTGAAGGAGAGAAAAATAATCCACTTTTGAAAAAAATACTAGACATTAATAGTACAACCTATCTAACCGCAGCAATTTATTATGATGTATTATAATTTATTACAATTACTGGCTTTTGATTTCAGTATTTTATTTTTGGTAATTTATTGTATTTCATATTTTGTTTTAGCTACCATCAACATTATGGATACGCCACGAACCAAAGCGTCGTGGCAATTTTGACAAGGGACAATTACACCTAAACCTCCAACATATGTACCTAAAAAATGGTATAAGTTGAAATGTTAACAACAATTCATCAAAATCACGAAAATTTGCAAATTATTTCTAGTTATAAATTAATAAAAAAATGTCTATGTATATTTAAGATTTTAAATATTTAAAGACTCCCCTTAAGTGTTCCTACGTTTTAAAAATAAAATGTTTAGAGGACAGTCAAATTAATTTTATATGAATGTTAAGCATTGAATATTCACCTATAAATTAACAAACTCTTAATTTCAATTTCAAAGATTTTATCATTTAAAAACTATTAACAATACTGTACTTAGATACTTGAATTTTCATTAAATGTTTATTTTATAATTTTCTGTATGTGATGAAATGATTTGTTCTGTTTTTTATTCTACTTCTTTGCAGTTAAATTATAAAATTTTTAATTTTTATGGCTAAGAATTGAAAATTTAAAACAAGGATTTTCATAAATAGTTTTACTGTAACCAAAACATCTAAAAAATATTTAAATACAATTATAATACATTCAAATACCTAATGTGTAGCAGATACCAATACCCACTAATTCGCTTTTTTTACCTAGCAAATCTTGTGTAGGAACTTACCTACACCCTATTTTTTAAGCGTTTTTAGGGATGTTATGGCTTCCAATTTTTTTTTTTATTTGAGATAACCAATCTATACCTTAGGGGCACAATACGTTTATATGGTTAGAGTAAATTATACATGATACGCTTGACGTGAGAAGTCATCTACTAATGACACTCATTATTGATTTTTTTTTTTTTTATATATAATTAGTTAAGCAACTAAAGCTCTGATTTTGGATTAGTTGATGGGACTATGGGAGGGGTGCAGTGGCGTAACTAAAACTTCGATTGCGCGTGGCAAAAAAATCCAGCGGACCCTTGGTTCTTACAAATTTGTAATATGAAGAGCATGCACTTACTCAGACAATTTATATCTAGACTCCCCCTGTTTAAAAGGTAATGAATGATTAAAAACATATTTACTATACTATTATGAATAATATGGTCATTTTTTATTACACATTGGAATATGTTTCCCATTTTTGAAATAATATAAATAACCACTTATTTTAGGTAGATTAGGTCTTCATGATTAACCATAGGCCATCTGGCCATATATCGTAAGTTAAAAACAATAATATATAGGTAGGTAGGTATTATTTATTTTACTGTTATAATAATCTTACAAATTTTTCACTTAATTTATGTATACTGTATAGGTAAAAATATTTGTATTTAAATTAGTAAATAACCTTCCAAACTATTAAGTTATTCAAACAGTTCCATTCTTATTAGTTTTTTGATTATTGCATCATAATCAATTTTTGATAAAACTTCATCTATCAAGTCGTCCATAATTGATTCTGTAATACTTAATAAAGAAAAAAAATTATTAATTTATATAAAATTAATAAATACTTAACATAAATATTCTTCTTAAAAAAATAATTTTAAATAAAGTATAGAAATTAGAAAGCATCAAATGAAATTGAAGTTTGGGAGAGTTTTATGAATAATGATGATTTAGAAATAAATACAATAATTAATTGATAACCTGTGAACAATTTATAATTGTTTTGAATTACCTAATAATTATAAATTATACATTTATAGAATATTATATGAATATATTTTTTTACTTACTATACCTTTATTATATATAGGTATTTTTTTTGTTTTTAGGTATTAAACTAAAATATTTATGACTTCATAAATACAAATTGGAAATGTACTTCAAAAAACTAAAATAACTGGGTTGGCTAAGTCAACATTAAGGATTTTCAGATATAGATACCTATGTTAAGTGTTAACAGTTCACAAATAATAAATATATTTGAACTCTAAAAGTTTAAATTTAATTTATAGACAAATATTAATTTGACTCAGTTAAAAAGAAGATTAAAAAAATTACACACAGTTAATATTCTTATGTATAATGTATAAATCAACTATGTTTTTTTTTCCAAAAATATGGAACATGTTATAATATTTTTACCATAGCAGGCAGATTGGTGGAAATGGTACATGCCCATATAAATGATTAATATATTTACTTGGATAAGAAATTAACATCATGTTCTGTTGTTAATGATTGTTGTTTGAATTGTCTTTTATATAAATAATTATCCTTTGCATGTTCCTGAGTTATGTTTAAAAGAATAGATCCATTTCGAGAGAGCCTTATATCTTAAAAACATGCAAGCAATAGATTTAATTAGATAAGAATATATACCACTTTATGAACTATAAATTTAACTAATTAAGTACTTTTAATAGGAAAATTTCTCCAGATGTTTTCTTTTAAAATGAATAGGCCAACATTACTGGTTGTTTTTAATTGATTTGACCTGAAACATTTACTATCTAATTAATTTAAATAATAATTACAGTATTCATAGAGAGTAAGCTAATAAAGTTATAACTTATAATATATAAATTATGTTTAATGTGAATTTCTTAACATTCCTAAATGTGTGTTTAAAACAAATTGTCCTATAATCATAATAGACAAAATTACAATTTTATATGTTTTATTAATTAAAGAAATATATTATATCATACAATATTAGATACCAATATGGTTATAGTTTAGATACTCAAAAAATTGAAAATATATATGTGGGTTATGACCTTATAGTCAGGGCCAGCTTAAAGTATTTTGCCATCCAATGCCACCCCTAATTATCTACTTACAATTTCTGCTTGGTACATGTGCAAGCATTTTTAAAACTCCTAGTATTTTTATTTTATTTAATAATATGTGTGTGGATTTATACATTATCTGTTGTAGCCATCAATCTTATATCAAATAGAACAATATGAAATTATATTTTGAAGAAATCAGAATCATATGGTACCTACATCATATTGTTTTTTGCATAAATACAGCTAAAAGAGGTTTTCCAACATCTAAAATACCCTCCTGACAACATATTGGTAGATACTAGATATATATTTCTAAATGACTTTATTATTAAATGTTTTTGACTATAATATTATGATATTCATAAAATGATTCTTAAATTATATACATACCTAAATACTTTTGAAGCAGTTGGAAATTTAATTGCTTCATCAGTATCAATTAATTTTTCATCTTGTATCTCTTTAAAAAGCAATTTATAGTTTGTTTCCTAAAATAACATTAAGTGCTAGAAAAATAACATGCATAATTTATAGGTACCAACAGTGTTCTAATATTAATTATGTTGTATTAATGTAATACTTTATAAATGTTTTAAAAATAAATATAATAATAATATGAATATACATTATAATATAAATATGTCTTACATTCGATTCTTTGAAGCAGGGATAATCTTCCATTACAGTTTTGACATTGTCTAAATTATTTTCAGTTCTTAAAATATTATCCTTTTTTGATAAAACATTATCTCTTGTTAATTCATATGATTTTTTCGACCATCCCTGAGCGTAATTTGATCCCAATTTTGGTTTGTCTTGATTATACATACTTAATCGATTAGAGTTGGCCGAAAACAATTGAGGTTTAGGTTTGCTTAAAGCTTTATTAGAAAGCTCATTTAACATATTGTTATCAATTTTATTACTATAATTGTCATTGTCTGTGTCTTTATAACCACATTCTTCCAACATATTCTCTAAATCTTTGCAATGTTGAACTAAATCCTAAAATCATTCAGTTAAATATATATTTATATCATCTGTAATAGTGATAATGACAAAACAAATTTAAATAAAGGCATAAAGCACTACGTACAAAACTTTCTTTCTTTTTTTTCTTATATAATTCACCATATATATATTTTCCAGTCGTTAATGATAGAACTGATATAATTTGGATCAAATTTTTCATTTTGCTTTGAATAGGGTTATAAATTCCAGCTTCCAAGGTTTTTGAACATAGCTTAGAGTAGTATGGAAGAACATTAAAATGTATAATATTTATAACTAAGTATACAATGTACCTATTTATAAATACCTTTGTAACATTAATTGCTAATTTATAGCATTTAATTAACTTAATTTGAAAGACTTTTCTTAATGTGACATTGGTTTTATTTTTTTTACTGTGCAGGTCTTCATTTTTTGATTCTTTTTTAATTTCAGAGAGCTGAAATAACAATTATTTCAAAATGTTGTAACAGTCAATTATTTATATGATCTAACATCAAAATCACAATAACCTGATCTACTGATAAATGGGGGTTACTTGATAATTGTTTTACTTTGTAATGGAATAATTATATTCAACAAATATTTATGTCCATCGCCAAAAGAGAGGTTGAAATAGGATCAACCATTTACAGCAATCAGTAGTAGGCGTCAGATATAAAGTTTTCTTAACTATTATGGATTTACAGGTATTTATTACTCACAGGTAATCAAATCACTGTGAACAATGTGCAGTTAGGTTGGTCAAACGGTGATACGACATAACACAAATGGAGCCTCTCCAGTATCCACTAATATATGAAATTAGCAAGTTAGCTGCAGTTGCAGCTACATTAGGAATGGTCATGTCACCCATAAAAAAATGTAATATTTAATAATTTTTTTTTATTAAATTTAAAGATAATTTTTAAGGACAAATTTTTAGATTCAGTACCTTAACACATACATTTTGAAATAAATTATTGGAAAATGTGCATGGTATGACTACATTTACGCCAAAAACAGTTCAATACTAAATATTCAGAAATGGTTACATGAAAGATCTTCAACAAGAAAATCAAGAAAAAAGTGTTTTACTTAGTACTAGAAATTTTAAATATTAAATATATAAAAATATATTTTTTCAAGCCATAGTGGAAGCTGTATACCCAGGGCTGTATTTACAATTGTTGCGCCCTGTGTCAACCATAATTGTACGCCCCCCCCACCAATAAAATAGATCCACTTTTTTGATTTTTCTCAACACATTTTTAGTTCGCAATTCTTTATGGTTAAGCCATGGTTGTCTATATACAACCGTGGTTATGTTAAAATAATATTAATTATATTCTATGCTAGCACTTATTTGTTATTGTAGCACAGCTAAGTTCACAAGGACTGTCATAGTACAAATTCTTTCCAAAAAAAAATATTTATTGATACAATACTTCATCGGGTTATAACGGTGCCCCCGGCTGCCCGGGACAAATTTCCCCATTGCCCCCCCCCCTAAAAAATGGCCCTGCGCACTAATTTGAATTGTACCCTAGACCTAGCTATGCATTATTTCCTCTTTAAAACCATTGTCATATTACAGTTAACTATAGTTGCCAATATTTGTTAGTATTTTTCTCTTTAAGTCAAATATTTGATCAGATATTAGTATATTACAATATTTACAATTCTACTCTAACTTTAAAATTTAATAATTAGTAGGTACAAGCACATATTGCATTATTGTATGTAAAAGAAAATCATTACTGAATTTAAATAATTTACCAGTGAATTGAGATCAAATATGTGATTATTTGGTAGTTGATCACATTCTTTAATTTTAATTTGTACTTTTTTAGCACTTTTTAAAACTGGTGGCAAAAGTGCATTTTCTAATATTTTAGAAAATTCATTAAATGTTTTAAACAAACGGCTGTAACATAAATAAAATAAATAATGGGGTTAAAATCAATTATTTAATATTATAATTATAGTAAATACTTTCTAAGCCCATGTATGTGATTAAGGTCAAAAGGATCATGTAATGAGTATACATTTATTGAATCATGTGTGCTAAATTGGCTGTTAGTGCACTTATTAAATGATGGTTCACTTTGTTTAACTTCTGTATCATTTTCAATTGTATATGTATTTTTAGAGTCTGTATCTTTGATTGATTCCATATAAATGTTCCAATGTTGGTCATCTATTTGCTTTTGTCGGCGGCGATTGATTTTTTTGTAAGTTTTATTAAAATCCTCTTCAGAAATATGCTGAAATGATAATGATTGAATAATAATTATTCAAAAGACTGCAGAAATAATTGAAATTATAAAACCTATAAGATCTACCGAATTAAAAAATGTCTATGCACATAATTTGAAAATCATATTATTCTACCAAAAATTGTTTTTTAAATTAACTGAATTTATATTATTAAATAATATTAATAGGTTGTAGATTATTTAAGTCCATGCCAGTATTCAACATTATAGTAAGTCTGGTATCTCTATACAATATACACGTAAGTAACTTAGCAAAAAAAATTATTTTAAATCATTTATAAACTATTAAAAAATGATTTTGTTAAACTAAATAATCAAATACCCACTTTGAATTTGAAATCTTCTTCCTCCATATTTTGTTTCTGGGAATAGTTGAAAAGCAGCGAATAACGTAAGTTTTTAAATAATTTGTACGTTTCTATGTTCCAAACATTATAATAGTTAAACAAACACTGTTCAGGGGCCTACTGGAAAATAATTACCATAACTGACAATCATGGAGAAGTCACAACAATTCAAGTCCTGTTGCCTGGGTAACAGACCATAAACAACAATAACCTAAAGATTTAAGAAATAATTTAAATTTGAAATTGTATTTCTTTAGTCATGTTGTATAGGTAATTACAGAGGGTAATCCTAATCAGTAGACTGTGGGGGTTGAAAAACTAGTAAAAATTATTTAAATCACCACTTTATAAAATACTACAATTACAATTAGTAAATTGGTCAAATAATCGTTATTCTACCTGTATACATAAATCATTATAAAATAACCATAGACCCATGGCTTAAATATATTTATAAATTTAATATATATATATTTTCAGCCATGCGTAGACCTATAAGCCAGGCACCATTAAGATCACCTATTCTGTGCTTCTAGCCTTTTACCTTTTACCTTTTTACCTATAATATTGTTCTGTGATAATATATATCAAATAAAAATCACGAATAAAAAAAAATAATGTATTTTTCAGTTAAAGATAATAAATGTATTGTTCTGTGGTGGTATTTTCGCAGTATTTTTTATTCAATTTTACTTCTTATCAGTTATCACCAACGTTTGTTTTTATCGCGAACTATCAAAACACAAAACAAACACAATATTTATTAATTGTTATTTAAAATGAACTAAATGAAGATAAACTTAAGGCAGTGTGGCCAGGTGTAGCGGAATTGCGCTACGCGTAGCGCTTTTTTTATTGTTATTTATCGTAGCGGCCCTTTCCCGTGAAAAATAAAAACGTAGTGCTATTTCACTTCTTAACATCGAACATTTTTATTTTTATTCTTAGATGCAGTGCATTGGAATTTGTGATTTTTTTTTTTAATTTTGCGATGAGAAAAATTGATAATAAAGTGTATGATAACCACGGTCTTAGAATATCTAAATTCTTTATATAGAGTATGTATTGGAAGACGTTTTAAACTATCTTCAACTACTTTTTGGTAAAAAAATATAATTACGTTCATAAATTTATTATAATTTGCATCGTTTTTACAACTGGTTAATATTTTTCTAGCTTCATGGCCAATTTCAATATCATTGTTGGGAAGTATCATTGAAGGATTTTTAAACTTGTCAAATTCATCATTTTTGTAACATTCTGCCTTTAAAAATTTTGAACACATTATACGCAGAAATCTAACACTTTCCTCGTAAAGAATAAATACTAGAGGTTTTTCAGACTGAAATAAAGCGTTAAAAGTATTGAAAACAGGAAGAATAAAATGCAAAAAACATAAGTAAGCTTTAGTGTATGGATTTTGTAGTTCCTGGTATATGACATTTGCAGCTGGATTCTTTTCTTCTACATAGGCTAATCGGAATAAATCATTAAGTATTCTCCACTGGCTTAATACTCTTTCAACACATTTATCTAGTGCCAACCATCTGGTTTGACTTGGACTTAGTATTTTCAATTGAGATTCATTCAAATACCTTTGCAATTCTTTCAAGACAGATTGTCTTTTTGGACTTCGAGAAAAATAAGAAGAAATGTTTTGTAATAAAATTTCAATATTACTTGGGATACAAGAAGCTGCTGAAGAAGCTATCAAATGGAAAGAATGGCATATGCATCCATTTACAATTATATTTGAATTATCATTTAATAAGTGAACTTTAAAGGACTCTTTGGAACCCATCATAACGGATGCATTATCAGCACAATATCCTATAATGTTATCTGTACTTAGTTTTAGTTTGTCTAAACTCTTGGAAAACAACATGTAGAGGCCCTTAGCAGTTCCATGGTTAGCATCAACAGGTACCAAATCTAGCAAATGTGTTTGAATTTGATTGTTTGAAATATATTTTACCAATATTGCCAAAACTTTAATATTGGCAATGTCTGTTGTCTCATCAAGGTATACAGAAAACTTTTTATTCTCTATTTCTTTCACTATATTATCTACAACAACACTTGCAAGAACATTTTTAATTAATTTAATACATTTGGTACGCTTTAAAGAAATCTGTTTGGAAATTTTTGAATCATTCATTATAAGACTAGGCAATTGAGATAAGTGATCAATACTTCTGAAGCTCAAATTATGACATGCTACAAAATGAGCTAGCATAAGTTCTGTCTTTTGTACTTGGGTACGCATTTTAACTATTTCAGAGTCAGGTCTAAACTCTAATTTAGTTACATTCTTTAAACTTGATACTGACCTGATATGTCTTTGTGATTCACTATGTCTTATTATATCAGACTTTTTAGTACCAAAAATTAGGTTGCAGGCTATACAAGAAGCCTTAGATGGTTGATCAGGAATCGCCCTTAACCAGCCTTTAAAACGATCATCCTCAAGCCAGGAATCAGAAAATAATTGTTTTCGTACATTTTTGGATTTTTCATTCATTGTTAATTCACCTCTGTATTGCCTTTTGTATTTTGGTGTAAATTCTGTACTTATCGTTTTCTTCTTCATCACAATGACGTTTTGAAGAACTAGGTCTTTCAAAATCCTGTCATTAAAAATACATGTATATAAAACATATCAAAAATAAATAAACAAACGTAAAAAAAATAAACATACCAAAGAAGTTGATTGATTTAAAAATTTGTCCATGTCGAAACTTATTATATTTTAATTATTAAA